TGAAATAGTCATTTGTGTAAATAGTGGAATGAAGTATTTGAATTGACTGTAATTGTTGAAGAAGTTGAACAAATTGATTGTCCATCATTTTGTATTGTAAGTCATAAAAACAAAGAAATCAAAATGGAAATTATTTGGAAGTAATTTGATTATTGTTTCTATTTGTTTTATTTCTTTCTTAAATCTTGTTTTAACTAAATTCAATGACTGAGATATTATTTCACTTCTAATTGATTTACAAGACATTGAGAATGAAATAATATCATCATTATTTAGGTATTGAATAATGTTGAATAAATCAGTGGTTGAAATTATATCCATTTGTCTGTATAATAAGAAATCTTCTTTTGATATGAGAATTGAAGTTATATCAATTATAGTTCAATTAATAGTATATTTTTCATGTAAAATAATTTTATTACAAAATAATTAATAAAACTTGTCATATTCACTTGTTTGATGAATATGACTATTGACCTCTTTATTATTATACCAGTATTATTGTTCTATTGGTAATGGTTTTCTTTTTTTTTCATGCTCTTTATGAATTGTCTAATAATCACTTTTTCACTTTACATATTTAATTAACAACTGAATTGTTTTAATTAAATTAAGTTTCTTTTTTCTCCATTATTGAATTTTATTATCTTATTTGTTTATTTTATTGATAACTCTATCATAATATCTTCTGTTCATCTTCCTTCAAGTATAAATAAATCTAAAGAGCTCATACTCAATGAAATGATTATTCAATAATCTCTGATGTTTGTGTTCTTTTTAGTACATCTAATCTTCATTGTTTTTAGTTTATTTCTACTAAAGAAGTTTAATTAGTAAATTCCCTATTTATTGACAAGGAAGTCTGTTGTTGATAAGGAACAAAAACATTGAATGATGATAGATTTCATGAAAATTAGTTGTAGAATATTGTAAAATAATTTGTTGTTCATATTTATAGTATGTATTCTCTTGCTTATGTAATATCAATACAAAATTAAACCTAATCTT